TACATGCTGACACATAAGAGTGTTATGCTGGATTCCTTATGGAAGCTTAATGTTGCTGATATAGAGGCGACCCTGTCACATGTTCTAAAATGGTCTGTTTTCATATCGTGTCTATATTTCCAGGTTTTACAAAAGATATCTTACATCTGATATTTCGTCGTTGTTAGTCTGACAATGGTTTTAATTATCTTTATCAATATTAGGTGCTTCAAGACAGCAGTGTCAGAAAAGACGAACTGCGAGCCCGAGCTAAAGGATTGAAAATTTTTGACAAAATATTGCAGGTACCGTTCTCCATATATTTTTCTATGCATTTTTTAAGTTAACCAGTGTATTCCATGATCTAATTATACCTACGCACGCACCAGCAACTGACAAGAGATATTCATCCACAAGACGTAGCCTGACAAGAGATTGGGATGGATTTCATTGCCTCCTGATTTCTCTGTTGCCAAAAGGAACATGTATCAAGTTCTTTGTTCTAACTTTCAAATGGAATTAAATTGTCTAATTCTATGTTTAAATTGTTTCAGCACATGGATTGACGGCAAAAGATAAGTGCCACAGGATTAGTGGTGTTGGATCGAACATGTAATGCCCCTTCGAATATGGTAGTTCTTCCTGTTGTTGTTACATCTAAATTCAACTTCGATATACGTACATGTGCAGGTCAAGAAGCGGCTCCAATCAACCCGAGCCAATTTCCACCGAGTTTCATTCTCCAACAAAGGAGAAGGCTAAAAGGACCGAGAAACAGCTTGCTTCAAACCTGAAAAAAAATTCCTACGCTACCACTTGACAGCCCTGCAATGGGCACCAAAAACAAAACAGCTAAGCTTGCTAGTCCTGCAAATAGCACAAGAAGCAAGAGAAGGTTGAGCTTATGATTCTCTATGTAGATGTGCCTGGCAATGTGTAAGGCATATGCTCTATGAACTATAATGTAGTGCAGCTGATGTGTATATGATGAACCTGCTATTCTGTAATGTGAACTTAGACCCCATATGTATGAATCTTCATGTGTTTATGTTTATGAACCTAGTAATGTATGCATATTTATGAACCTGGACATGTGAATTTAGACCCATATTGTATGGATTTGTTGAGCTAATGTGAGGTGTGCAAGGTGTTTACATTTTTTTGTTTTTTAAGTATGCTGATAATGTAATTTATTGATTATTATTGTCACTCTTCAATTATTAAAATGATATGTTTCATTCACAAGTATATTTGTGATATTTGTGCTTTTCTTATTTGATATTATGTCCATTTATTTTTTTCCTATCTGGCACTACATGTTGTTGTTACATAGAAGGGCATATATGTCATTTTAGGTGACACTTGACACTGTTACTGCATCAAATGGACGGAAGTGCCATATACGGAAGGAATTTTCAAGTTGATGCTAGATAAAGAAGTTCAAAATTTTCAGTGACAAATACGGAAGAGTGATTTGTTTCAGTGCCAAATACAGAATTCTCTGAATAAATAAACGGCGCACTCATTGTTTCTTCATACCATGCGCAATGCAAACATGACAAAGCATTGGTCAAATCAAGTAGACAGTTTTCTGGAATCAAAATTAAAAACCACTTGATATGTGAGCGCTCAATTAATTGTTTCTTCATACCATGTGCAACAGAAACATGACAGAACATTGATCAAATCAAGTGGAAAATTGTATGGAGTCAAAACCACGTGATACGTGACCTCCATGGATGAGCAGAGCAGTTTGCTCACAGAGAACCTGAGGTCTTAAGTGAACAGTTGCTGAGCCCATGGGTTAATCTTGTTCGGCTTTGATTTCAGGCTAATGTGGGGGCAAAACATTCAAAGGCATGCCCGCCTCAAGGGGCTGCTTCTGTTGTAGTATTGATCTTGATTAAGTTGCTATATTCTCTTAGCAGCAGCAACATCCGTACAAATATCTGCGATGAATTGAACGGATAAGCATCAAAATAAAAGTAGTACAAACAAATATTTCAGAAGACATCACTTGTACATATATGTCCAACTTTCCAATGAGACAAAATTCACCTGAGTCAGTAGGTCTGGTGAATGATAACAGTTTCAAGCACAGCATCTGAATCCAGCATATACAGCACCAGTACAAGTAACAGTATACCTAAAGCTAATTCTCTCTATGGACAGCTTACAGCCTCAAGTTAGTAGTACAGTATAATCCAGGTGCACCAACCAAAAAATAAGGTGCATGGCAGCTAGGTTATGTAAAAGCAAAAAAGCCTCGAAGTTTCTTGATTCAGACTCGTGCACTTCAATGGTAGTGGTATTTCACCGAATGGCACTGTGGGTATCTTCTATTCTTCTTTCAGGCCCTGATGAACAAGCAAAGTGTGTTAACATAAGATCCTTTATTTAAGGAAAATGTTGTTCTATCTGCATGAGACACAGTGCAAGATGATAAAAAAAAAAAAGTTCAACAAGTATAGTTTCAAGCTGCAATGCTGTATCCTTTCGGTTTACATAACTTCAGGCATCTAGTACCATCAAATAGGCACAGCATAGATGGCAGAAGCAAGGCATCAGTAATCATACGGTGGTTGAGACCGTCATACTAGTACTATACCAAGATCAGCTTCCTGATACCAACTGTAGTTGAACTTCCAGGAAGAACACAAAATTCGGACAAAAGATAAGTTAGAAAAGAAATACAGATGTAGGGGAGTGGACAAACATACATTGAAGTTGTTGAATTTGCAGATGATAGCTATGAATGATGCGATCAAAATGCACATCGTTCTTCAATCTTGCTCCTTATGTAATATTCATTTCACGAAAGTTTAATGCCAGTACCTATCGAAATGAAACAAAGATGAGCTAAGTACAAATGGATACACCAGTCATGCGAAGTATATGATGTCAGGCTTGAACAACCAGAAGTCAGAACCTAGAATTGGAATAGCGAGAAGAAATTCCAAGAAGGAAACAGATTTTCTGGCTATACTTCTTCAGAATACAAATTATTGGCCCACACAGAGCGGGAGCTCTCTGCACTGGGTACGCCCTTTTTCCATTTTACTATACATTGAACCTACACAGGAACTAGTAGGCCTTAGTTGGAATACGCAATACTGTTGATCATCAGCTATCAAACCCACACCTTGACAAGTGCAAAACAAAAGCAATGACACATATAGCGTTGGAGTGTCAAAACCATGTCTCAGTGTTGATGAATGAACCACAACCAAAAAGAAGCCATATAGGAAATGTTGACTAAGACAGTGTTCTTAAGCTAATTTTCACTTGATTTTTTTCTACTCACATGATTTGAAGATTTGATAGTCCAACAAAGTTGGTGGATATTAGGCCTATTCAACGGGGGTTTAACATGGGTTTAGGCAGTTTCTCAAACCAAACCGTATGATTACGGTTTAGGAAGGTCGGTTTGCCAGTTTGTGCGGTTTCGGTTTGAAACCGGAGATTGAGGAGGCCGTCCTAGCGGCAGCGGGCAGCATGATCTTGGCCACGTGGCAGATGAACGCATATCTGAGGACAGCAGCCTGCACACGCTAGCCTGCTAACAGCCTCTCGCTGGCAGCCTTCTCCGGCATGACGAGTTGCTCGGTGCGTCCGAGGAAGGAGGCACATGAGGAGCGCAGCGAGAACAAGAGGTGGTGATGACGAATGCTGCTATGTCCAGCAACTCCTGCACATGCACCACGTCGTGATGGCGAAGCTGTAGCCGATGAGAATAGACACGGCGATGCGGAGGAACGAAATAATGTGGCCATCTCGCCAGAGGATGGCAGCGGCGCTTGGCGGTCGCCATGGCTATCTGTGGCAGTGACGCTACCATACCTCCAGCTGTTTCTTCACCACCACGGCCAGGCCACCGGGCACCACGAACACATACGAGAAGAGTGCTGAGCCTAGGACGAAGAATCATGACTTGTCAAGCATCTCCCAGCTCACCTCAGAAGCCGCCGTAGCCCCGCTCTCCTCCATTCCTAGACTGAAGCACATCGTGAGTTCCTGCTCTCACTTCTACCTGACCAGTTTTACTGGTTAAAAATTGCTAGCCTGCACAACCTGTTAAGAACAGTTTAGCTGGGTTGGTTTGGCGGGTTGCCCAGGTTGTAAGCAAACCATGAACAGGGCTAATGGATATTAGCAAATGATGCAAAGTAACTGCATGAGTCAACTTCTTTTCGCATTACATGATATATTGATACTACCATTCGGTGAAAAGTACTTGTCACATTTGACTATGCACGATCTTCTATGCATGTCTAAAAAAATATCTTTGATCACTAATATCTTCTAGAAAGTATTCTTAAGAACCCTTCAAATTTATGAGATTTTGCAAGTATTTTCCAATACAAATCTACACATATATCTTACATGTTTCCAAACTAAACAATTTTAAAGCTATTGATGTATGTACTTTTTGAGGTTTGACCAAATCTTGTCCTGAACAACATGTTTTTATGACTAACGCATATTACAACTGGAATAGACTAAAAGAGAACTTATACAGTACAAGAGGGAATAGCAGCAAAAGAGATATAGGCAAAAGCTATGCGGAAACACAGTCAAACTTTGTCCCAGCAAACTTCATGAACCTTAACTCACGTCAATGTTCGAAGCTGAAGCTGATTTTTCCAATCCAATTTCACCCACTTCAAAAGGTTTGAGTAACGTGTATACTGCACCAAAGAAATTGTCCGAAAATAATTACTTGTTCACCAATACTGAAAGTTGAAAACAAACAAGTTCAACAAAAAAAAGGTCAAGGGCTAGCCACTTGTATCATACCAACTGATTATTGTTCTGATCTATTTTTCCATGCAATTGAGCCATCCAGCACCATGTGAACCTCATAACACTTGAGTCGATCTGAGAAGTTGCTGATGCATGGACTCTGATCTATGGTCATAGTTGGTTGTCCATGCATGCCAATAGGTTAACATGGCAGTTCAGTTTTGCCGAATAAAGAATAACATGTCCACTTCATAGTTTTGATACTGCACTATAGTTTGTCAAGGAGGAAAACCAAGTGCAGGGACATCACCATATCTTTTCAGCGGTTCCACGTTAATAAATCTTGCATCCCTCATCTTTAAATTCCTACTATCAACAAAAATAATGAGGACAAAGTGATCAGATTTGGTGCTGTCCTCTTGCAACAAGTTACATAACTTAACAGATCCATTTATATTTCCCTTGTAGCTGGAATTTTTGTAATTTAGCGAAAGCTTATTCCCATTGTACTTGACATTGTTTACATTCCCTATGTTGTTATTGGTTCCAAATTCATGTCCATCCACATGAATGGGAAGTGGAGTTCCATAGAATTGAGAAGCAGAACCAGTGCAGATCTTCCACGCATTGGCAGAAGTTACATGGTCATTCTCTTCATCCAATGTGAACAGTCCAAGTTCTTCAAGAGTGCTGCTCACATAGCTTTGTTCTGAACTGAAACTATCTGTGGTATCCTGTTCTGAAACATTTCCTGCCAATGTTTCTTCAGAGTTTCTTCTTGATTCAGTCTGAATGTCAGATGCTTTGTACATTCCCACAAGTGCATTTGTGACATATACATCAGAAAGCAGACCCATCTTTATGATGGAAGCATGCAGTTGTCTTCCTAAATCAATAGCACAAAGATCGCCACATCCCGTAAGATTCTTGCAAAGGTGACACGGTTTGCACATGCAGTCCACTGTGCTGCATCTTAGAGAAAAGATGAAGAGCTTCATCACTGCATCTGTTCTGAATATAACCCAACATTAACATGGCATATGAATTGATGTTCCTACTTCATGCTATGAAAGAATCTACAGGCACTAGAAATGCATCCACACTTAACATAAAGGTCTATGATAGCATTTCCAACAATGACATCCAGATTTTCAGAACCAATCTTTACAAGGTAGCCATGGATCTGCTCGCCAGCCTGCTTTGCTCTTATATCAGCACATGCACCAAGAACAGTTGAGAAAGTGAATCGATCAGGACACAGACCAAACTGATATTCCCTGCAAAATAGCAGCAGAGCTTTATCTGGCAGGAAATTCCAGCAATATCCAGAGAGCATGGCATTAGTTACAACTAAATTCCGTGGAAACAATGCATGGGTGAATAACTCAGCAGCACCCTCAATGCAATGGCATTTTGCATACATGTTTACTAGGGATGCACTGACGAAATCAGCAAGCAGTAGCCCAAGTCTAAGAGCAACTGAGTGTATCTGCCTCCCCTTATCCAAGTCCTGAAGACCAGTACATGCATTTATGACGGTAACAACACAATGCTGATCTAGCGGTGCTCCAGTGTTGCTTAACTGCCTAAAGTAACTGCACGCTCTCTCAAATTGGAGGTTCTTGATACAGCCTGCCATCACTCCAGACCATGATACGACATCTGGTGATTGCATAGTTTTGAAGATTGATTCCGCACACATCAGTGATCCAAGTTCAGAATATACTGACATAAGGGCATTGCATACGTTAGTATAACAGAAGCCTCCGGTTTTCAGAGTAAAAGCATGCATTTGTCGAACCTCCTCTTCTATTTGACATATGCCAAGCACTGTAACCATGTCTCCTTCCCTTAAGCTGAGACCTGAAGAAAGAAACTTTTCTGAAAGTTTCACTGCTTCATCCTGACAACCATTTGAGTGATAGCTTGAAATAGCCAAAGAATACAAAGATCCGTCACGCTTTCTAACTGCAGCAACAAGCTTTCCAATGTACTGAGTTTCACCTACCCTCCCGGCTGACTTGATGAGCTCAGACACAACAAAACAATCTACTCCCAAGCCCATTTTAAGAGCATAAACATGAATATTCCTAGAAAGATCAAATGATCCAAGAATAGCAGCAACACCGGCTACTACCCTCAATGTCACCACATCCATTGCCATGCCAATTTTATGCATATCCTGGAAAAGCTCAGCAGCCTCCACAAAACAACTGTTCTCGACAAAACCATAAATCATTGCATTCCAAGCAACAGAGCTCTTCATCGGAATCTTATTGAACAGCCTAAAAGCATCACCCATATTACCACACTTTGCATACATGTCCACTAATCCAACTTCCACAAACCTGTCGACACCCAGGCCAGACTTGACCACCAATGCATGCACCATGAGCCCAAGCTCCATGACACCCGACTTGGCACAGGCGTTCAGTACTGTTGAGATGACAAACCGATTTGGCTTCACCTGATCAGAGGACAATAGGTCCTTGAATAATCCGATGGCCTCGACGAAGATCCCGCGGCTGACGTGCGCGGAAATGACGGTACACCAGGACACGACGTCCCTGTGCGGCATTTCGTCGAACAGCTGGCGCCCGGCTGCAAGAGAGACTCCTTTGGCGTAAGAATCCAGCAGGACGTTGGATACGAGCACGTCGGACGCAAATCCTCGTTTGACGATGTGCGCGTGGGCAGCGGCGGCGCCCGCGGCGAGCGCGCCGCGCGCGCAGCGCCGCACGAGGCGCACATAGAGGCGCGCCTCGAAGGCCGGGAACAGAAGCTCCATGGGGCCGACGATCTCCAGCACGGCAGAGACGGTTCCATGCGCGCGGCCGCCTAGGGCACCGGAGGAGGCGGCAGAAGTGAGGAGTCTAGATGGGGTCGGCCCGGAGTGGAGCGATGAGTGGAGTAGGAGCAAAGAGAGAGACCTTAACATAAGCAGGGTGATTCGCGGGTCGCCGGAGATGAGCGGCAGCGGCGGAGGAGAGTGAGAGCAGGGTTGACAATGGCATAGTCGCCCGCGGAGGCGGCGGCGGCGGCGAGGCTTGGAGCTTGGAAATGAGGGCCCAATCTTGCAACCAGATTTGTGGCAACTTGCAGGCGCGGATTCGTATCTTTTCCCTACAGGCCAACACCACGCTCTACTCTCGCTTATCTCTGCCGTCCGACCCTAATTTTTAGGGTCTAGACTAGATTCAACCCAATTACAACAGTCACATATTCCTAGAGTAAAATGTATTGGCAGTCTTCAAATATGTGTGGGTCATCAGTATGTTCGTTTGGCTGTGGCTTGTCGTAAACGATCGTAAATTTTCAGTTAGAACAGTATTTTTCTCTCACATAAACCAGCCAGCAGTACTTCTTCACGGACCAGCAATGAAACGAACCAGTCAACCGAACAGGCTGCATAAAGATCTCAAACTCTTTTTTTTAGTGGGAGAGGGGACGGAGCGGGGATCCCAAACTCTCAATGATCACCTAACTACAATAACTTAGCTCGGGCCACGACACATGTCCACACCCAAACAGGCTCAACCTTGACTCGTTTGCCGACGTGGCCTTCCACGCTGGCCACGGGCTAGTTCCGATGGTTTCTTTTGCTGGAAAAAGGCTCACCTACTCCGCCTTTTCGTCATTCTCGTGCCTCCCACCACCATAGAAGATTGACGTGAACTAGAGCCAAGCATGGTGAAGTAGAAGGACGGAGGTGAAGGCAGCGGCGGGTGGTGCTAGACAAGTGAGTTGCGTTGGTGGCAGTTGGCGATGGCTCCGCGGCTATGGAGAAACTATGACCTTGCACCGACTATGGTGGTTCTCCAAGCCCTAAATGTGTAATCTTGCCTTCCTTTGCTATTGATTTGGTGGTAAGTTGATACTGGATACACAGAATGAACGCTAGGGTTTAGGGATTATGTTTTGGGCCTTTATCTGGTGGAATTTTGGAGTTTTGTTAGGGTTTTAGTCAAAGATGATTCATGGTTCATGGAATCAGTTTAGTTTTCATGTTTTTTTAATGCACGAAAGAAGGAATTATAACATTAATTTGCATAATCTTTCTCATAAACTTGTACCATACAAGTGTACATAGAATTTGCGTACAAATTTGAAGAAATCTCATGAACTTGTACTGTACATAAAATTTATGTCAAAATTGTGTAAAAATTTACTCTTTTATGTGTTTGTCCACTAATCATGTGTAGGTCACAATCATGGAGAGTTTATAGTGGAGCTTCACCATGATGGGTTTTTTGTTGGGTATGATCGCTTAAGGAGTTATGTGGATGGAAAGATTAGTCGGTTAGATAATTGTGAAGTTGATACTTGGTCCTTGATTTGGCTCAATGACTTTGTTGACTAGGTTACACAAAGACGCCACTTCTGAATAGTTATCGGTTGCTACCAGGGAAGGATCAAGATAATAGTAGGGGATTGAGGCACCATTGCAATGTGCTCTGTTGTGGATAAGATTAAGGCTTTGGTTGTATATTTGGACCATAAGGACACTTTTGTTTGTGTGAACTGGGATGATATTGTTGCAAATCTAGTCTGTGAGCTACCAAAGGTGATAAACCATGTCAAGGTTGTTACCGTTGAGAAGCAACAGGGTGAGAAGCTACCAAATTTTTATATAAGTCTTGGAGGACACCAGAACAAAATGTGGAAGCACCAACATTGATGACAGTGAAGACTCAGAGTTCCTGGATAATGATTATGAAGTTCAGGATGGTGATGATGACTTATTTGTGGATCATGTTGATGAAGATGTGGAAGATGATGTAACTGCTATAAGGCAGATGTTAGCAAAGACAAAGAAGGCACCGGGAAGCAAGTTGAAGAGGGATGCAGTTGTATAAACAATTGATCTTTCTTCTGATGATCAGGATGAATTGGTGTAATTACTATAAGGCAGAGGGTAAAACTAGGACTAAAACAATAGCCAAGTATTTCATCAACACTACAATCTTCCTACCAATTCCAACCATCATTTCCAACCTCTTAACTCCATCTTCTTCAACTTGTTCTATAAATGTACTTTTCAATGCAACTAGCTATGCAACCTCATCTTTCTTCTCCTGACTAACATTTTTGTTGAACACTGGAACATAGGAGGGAGGAACTAACTTGTTGTCTATCAAATATTTCTCGTAATCTTCTTCCCCATACCAAAAGGAGCAACCATCACCATCTCTATGCAAGTAATTGCAAGGGGGATTAAGAAAATTGAGCAACAGAATGAAAGAACCAAACTCCCAATGTACTCACAGTGGGACTAGGGCAGACGTAGAAGTAGTGACCGTACTTCTCCTTCGTCTTTGCCTTAAATTTCTTCACCACGCAGCACTTATAGTCGCGACAAGGAGCAAGAGGGAGGTCATTCCATTCCTTTGGCTTGGCCTAGATGAGCTGCTGCTCCAATAATTCATTGACGACCTTGGATATGCGGCTCAAGTCACCGCTAGCAAGAACCCGCCACCGCCACCACCAAGAAAGGGGAAAGGAATGGGAATTAGGGTTCCAGTCACCACTGCCAGCAAGCTAAGAACGAGCATAGGGAGAAGAAAGAGGAGAGGAACATGTGAGCCTTTTCCTCAGTAAAATAACTTGCGGGAACTAGCTCGTGGCCAGCGTGGAAGGCCACGTTGGCAAACGGGTTAGGACTGAGCCCGTTTGGACATGCGTCGTAGCCAGAGCCAAGTTCATGTAGTCAGGTGGACATTTTGGGAGTTTGAGGACCTATATGACACCCGCAACCAAGTTTGAGGACCGCCAGTGCATTTTACTCGATATTTGTGGGTGGCACCAAACGGACTACGACTCAAGGCAGTTCAAATTGATAGGGCGTTTGGTTCCGATTGTAGCGTGCCACAAATAACATTAGTTATTAAGTGTGGTAAACCTTAAAAATATCATAAATTTTAGGGCTATATTTTATTATGCTCAAGGGAATCTTGTCGTATTTTTTAAAGGTATATTTAATGGATTGGCTAGGGCTAGTTATTAGTTGGGGCCTAGCTGAGAGGTTGACTAACTAGTTGGCTACTTGACTAATAACTAGTTGGAGGCTTAGCTAAAAAAATTAACCAACCTATTAGCCCTAGGAGCCTAGGACTAATTTAGCTAGCTTACAATTAGTATTGGGTATCTAAACAGACTCTTAATCTATAAAGTTTGAAGTCCAAAAAATCTTATCTGAATTTAATCGCCAACCAAAGTATCAACTTATTCAAATTTGACTAAGTTGAAATGTGACAAAGTTTGGCTATCAACTAAACACCCCTGAGTTCTTGTACTCACCACTTAAGATCACTCTTAAGACAGAATTAGAGTTGTCTATTCTCTTTGTGCGGTGTCAAGTTGTTGGATTAAGACATTACCTCAATAGCTAGTAACTATGAAACTTGCAATTATTATTCCATTGGTTTAATTTGCTAGCCGCTGGAAGGATCATGTCCCGTGAATGATTACAGGGCATGTTCTGCGTATTCTGTCAGGTATAGGCCCTCCTCTGGAATATGATTTTTTTTTCTAAAACCTAGGCTTTTCTATAAAATCATATCGATTTCTATGAATTTTTTTGTGAAATTCATGTGTTGCAAAGAATAGGTAGTGTTGGGAGCCAAAGAAGGTGTCCATTTAATGCTAACCTTTTTCATGTTGGTATTCAACAAATCTCACACCAGTTGCAAAAAAACACGCACATATAGCATATCCGAAGATTTCCTTTTTCAAAGCAACGGGGCCATGCGCATGCCATTACAGAATGACATTTACATCGAAACATTGCACACTTTTATTCCATTATATAGCTTTCTCTGTCTTCCCAGGAGCACCCATATATGTGCCGTCCATGGCAGTGTGGTGGTCCCAGAAGCTATGGAATAGTGTAAACTGCAAACATATGTCCATGTCATATTTCTTATATATATGATACATCACTTAAAAAAATATTTCTTAATATATGATACTCCCACCATTCCAAATCGTAAGACATTCTGGTTAGTTTATATACATAACTTTTGCTATGCATCTAAGATATATACTATGTCTAGATATATAGTTAAAGCAATGTATCTAGAAAATCCAAAACATCTTATAATTTAGAATATAGAAAGCATGACATAATAGCAGTATAAAAAGCCTCTTATATATAATTAATAAAAATGAAATGGTGTCGGACACTTACTACCGCACTTGGCACCGGATGTAAATTGTTTTTCCAAACTGACGTCCGAGAGTAACAAACCTCTCCACGCTTATTGACGCCTCGTCAGCGTTAAGGACAGAACAAATGCTAGCCAAGTCAGTTCTAAGAAGTACGTCGATGCATTTTGGACTTGGGGATTTGTATGGGGGTTTTTTTTTATGACATCCATGCAATAATGATAAACCTCTGCTTTGGAAGCCTCAGGGCTCGCTGTGCCTTGAGCAAGCCTTGTAGTAATAGCCAATGCAACGATCAGAAGTCGAGGGAATACTTTAGCAATCATTCTGCACTACTAGGGTTATGGGTTCAAAGCTGCTAGGACCCAATATCTCAAAATCGGTATGGATGTGAACCTTGCTCTGTGCCTACATATATCTTTATATAAAGCATGTGGGAGCCCATGTCTAGCTACTATAACTAATGTCCACGAGTCTTCGATGTAGGATGTGAGAATCCATATGTCTAACTAATAATCAATCTCTATACATCTTTGATATAGCATGTGAGAATCCATATCTCACTACAAAATTAATTTTTCCATACCTCTCTGGATGGATTATATATCTAATCAATGTCTATAC